CATTATTCTTAGAGGCCACTTTAGGTAACTCTAGGCAACAATATTTTGGAAATATAGCTGCAGTATGTTCTCCCTCTGGAGTTTACAAGATCAACTTTTTGCCTTTTAACAGAACAGCATTTTTGTCTTCATTTTAACTCAGTTGAGACACATATGCACTTGCGCATGCACGCGCACACGTTATGGGGCATGATGTGCTTGGTTTTGTTAACAAACAATTCTAACAAAAAACCCCTCCAGACTCTGAAGCACGGGGGGTATTTCCATTTGACATGGTAGAGTGGAAACCATACAGAAAGCTCTCAGGGCTAGTTTCAGTCTTTTTAAGACAAGCTGATGCCTATGTCAAAATATCCTAAATAAAGATTATAGCTGTGATTTTTTCCCCCACCTCATAAAGCAAGTAACTTTTTGCTGTGCCCCATAAGACATATTTCACTGTCTGTGAAATAAGAAAAGGCATCTCCTGAGGTGATAACAGATGTCAAGAGAAGATGATCACTTGTAACAAATCTTAGAACAGTATTTCAGGCTGCCTTTATTAATCAACGACAATCCACAGCTAGTGCAGTCCTGATGCCTTCTCTGTACAAGACGCAGCAGACTGTTTTTAATAAGGAAGGCATTTTTAATTATTCCAACGGAAAAATATTTAATTTTTTTTGCAGCCATTTCCTAAAACTCTTTATAAATTGGATCCAACTATTGAAATATTTGCCAATGTGAAGACCAAGATGTTCAGATGAGAACACACTAAGAGTTTTTTGCAGCCCTGGAAATAGCTGGCTTACTGATTTTTAGACACCAGTACGATATCTGCAAAGAAATGCAGCTCAAATATCTGCCTCCCCACCCCATTCCAGTAATCTCACATAACTCGTTGTGGGTGGAATAAAGCCAGCACAAGGGCATTAGGCTCCTTTGTGTTATTACAACTGTGCAGCCACTTAAGTATTTATTACATGCTAATATCTCAAAATCAGCCTTTAAATGATTCTTCACCAACTGAATGACCTTACTGGCTCTTACCAGCTCTCTGATCAAGCACGTCTAGAGATTAGCTGTCCTGGTGACTTACCTACAACAGGAAGGACAGGTGTGTGGGTCCTGCTGGAGATGAAGTTAACCATGCTCCATGAATAAACAGGCTGCGGAGCTGTACAAAGGCCCCTTTCATCGCCTAGGATCGAACGCATCGCTTCCAGCGAGTCAGCCGGTCTCTGCCACAGGGAGCTGCGAGACGCTCCACGCTTCCACTCCGCTTGCCAGCAGTTCGGCTCCAGCGTGCCGGAGTTCACAATTCAGCCAGAGCTGTCAATTCATGACAGCACGATCCAGGCAGGCAACTCCTTTGTGTCCGTCACAGACTAGATGCCAGGCAGTCCGTTCCCTGGAAGAATCTGCAAGTCTGTGCCACAATCTTGCTTTCCATAAGTCAGTCCACTAGATCGTCCTAATGGGTCACAGCCGGACAACCCCTGTAAAGCAAAGCTCTCTAGCACCACGTGGGTGACAGCTAGCACCAGCACCGGTGGGGGATTAAATACATTTCCTTTGTATTCAGCTGCAAAAATCTGACTGGCAAGTCAGAAGCATAGCTGCTCCAAGTTAAACACTTTGGACCTCCTGCCTCTTGTCCTCGCTAAAAATTAACTCCCTACAAAACACTGTTGGTGCCAGGAATACCTCAGTATCGCCATCTGTCAGCTGGAGAAAAGCCCAGTAGCTTCAGCAGCAGAAGCTGTGCAGGGAGAGAGGCTATCTTCAGCACTGCCTCTTCTTGAGGTATGCATTGCTGCTTTGTTTATTGCAGCTCTTAGTAAGGGCAGGTAAGCGCTGCCCCACAGCTATAGGCAGAGGCACGGGGCTTCTGGTCATTCGTTGTAACGGGACCTGTTACTAGAGACAGGCCAGGAATTGCTAACCTCACGGGCCATAGTCCTGTACCACCCTCTTCCGAATCTCCTGCTGAGGAAGGCTCGGCCAAGGGAAGACGGTAAACATTCATTTCCACTCCCTACCGCACCTACTGGGAGAAATAAAGTAAAACATTTTTCTGTGAAAGCTGAAGCCATTATCAGCAAGGCATTGCTTCTGATGAAAGTAGCAGGGCCACGGATCCTGCTGGGTACAGGGGCTGCAAGGCTGTAGCCTCGGAGCTACATGTACGCATGATCTTATTCCTACAGCATTTTATGCCAGCACCAAACGGGTCCTCCATTGGGCACTACCTTGACAGAGAAGCATGGGTCAAGCTGCACAGACTGAGATCTGGATCCGGACGCTTCAAAATTACATTTCACAAGATGAATGTCTTGGACAGCCCCCTGCAGGAATGCAGTATCTAATGAACAGCACAGCACTTCATCGAAAGTGGCAATCTTTATAAATGCCCTGATGGGGTAGATTGAATCTGTGCTTTGAGCGATAACACCAGACAAGGGCTCATGGATTTGGAAGTTGTTTTCTGATGCTATATGAAAGGGTTTCAGGGCACAAAGTGCTCTTTGCACTCGTATATGTGAATACTAGTATCTGTGCAACTTGCATATATTTCATGGCTTCCTCTACCCCAACCGTGCATATATTTACTTGTTGTCAAAAGCTTTCTTTTCACTGCCAAAAAATTGTGCACTTCTTGTGAAGTAAAGTACATTAGCTATTCCTGCGTAAACATCCCACTGAATACAAGACACTGTTGTCATTAAAGAGAGAGAGAGGTAACATCAGTCCTGGGCAGCAATATAATATTAAACTTGACCTTGCCACCAATAGTTAAAAACTACAGTGGGATAATATTAGTGGTTTAAAAAACAAAACCGCTTTTGCAGTAAAGGCAGCTTCTCTCCAAGTTCCTTGAAACAGCAACCCAAATCTACCAACTTTGTATTACACACGCAGAGCAGGGGCTGCTAGAAAGCTCTGGTAATACTGATCATGAAAGACAGGAGGCTATATTTAGTTTTATGTTACTAGTTGTTTATGGCATCCCTCAGACCAAGTTTGTATCGGTAGCCAATTTGCCACTTGAACATCTCCCTTCCTGGGCAAACCAACTGAACTTTAGCAGATGTTTGCAAAATAAACTAACTGATAGGCATACCGCAATAGAAAAAGTGTGAAATTGTTCCATTTGTGGTTAGAACAAGAATGTATTGGTACCAAATCAGAACTCTGGGTAGAGGTGACAGCTTTTATTAGACCAACTAGATTATCTGCAAAAAACATTCCTTATTTGCAAGCTTTTGGGCACACTCACCCTTCTTCGGGCATAGGAAAATGCAAAAATCGCAAATTTTCTCCTAGGTGGAAATGAAAATTCATACTTCACATGAGAGCTGAAGGTGTTGCACGATCTCCTGGTTGGAAAAGTTAGTTTTGTGCAAATTAGGCTGAGAAAAGTTACAGCGGTCTATTTACCTAATAAAATCACCTCTACCCGGAGTTCTGATCTCATTTGCCTGTAGACCAACATGACTACAACCTGTATCCTTGGTACAGAATCATGACTCACTTACAGAAAACGTCACTCTCAGGAGGTGATGAACTGTGATAGAAGGCATATGATAATGACTAGTGACAAAAGAAAATCACTCAGAGAAGAGGATAATGTTGCCAAAGAAATCAGGGACCATTTTCAGGTGGCGGCTCTAAGAGCACTAAGTACACTTAACTGCGGTATCTATGCAGCTCATAGGCCTGTATACTGTACTGATGCATTACGTTAATAAAAAAAAAAGTTAGTAATGGTTTTAAGATGTAGGTCACTGTGGCCTTACTATATTATGCAAGAAAGCATTAGACTTAATTGCCTGCACAATGCCTTATCTTTGGATTACCATGTTCCTAATGTTTTGCAAGAAACAGTTTTATTCATTGGTTGCAATGCTCTGAACGGTATCTTCAGCACAGATTTAGCTGAACAGGTGCCAACCAAACATTTTTTTCCTTTCTGTGCATGAGCAGCTATGTATCACTACTATAGCAGTTAAATTCCCCCAATTTCACCCCATACTGAAGTTCTTACCTTTAGAAATTAGGACTCTACTTCTTGAAATAGCACCAGGCAGCCTGGGAAAGTTATGGTCTTGGTCTCAAAATGCATGGGTATAACCTCAACTAAACAGGCTGGAATCAAAGGTCCTTCCCAATCCTGGCAGGCCTCAGGGCTAGCATGGTTAAGGCATTCCAGTTTCCGTAACCAAGCAGCTGACATGGAAGCAATGCAATTTGCAGTACATCTGGTTGCTTTTAAGTCCCCAGCCCAAATCACCAGGTACCACTGACACCTGGGTTACCTGGGGGCAGCTTCTGGTATGACTGAAGGGGGACTCAAGCTCATGCTTTGGAGCTGTAGCAAAATGCCTTGACAGCTGAGCCAGCATGCCCCTTACAGCATGGAGTGGATGTGCCTAACGTTCACTGGCAAGCAATACTGTTGAATGAACAAGCACTAGCCACTGCCAAGGCCAAACGAGACAACCAAAACTTAATGCTATTACTGTTACTTCAGCAACTGACTTGCGTAGTCTGCACCCAAATCCCTGAACATCATTTTAATTTTTAATTAACAGGTTGAACTATTTTAAATTGTCTGGCCCAACTGTGGAAGTAGAGATTGTTTATACAGCTTGCCAGAACAATTTCCCACTTTGTAACCAACTAATGTTGACAGCAAGAGCACATGTGCATACACCTGAGGATAAGCACAGGAGGAAGTCAACACAGACCAAAAAAGTGGCTGTTTGTTACTCATAGATGCACAAAGGAAAGGTGTCCAGTCCCGTGTCTGAAAAAGACAGACATAGCTGATGTGACACAAGGAATTTGGAAGATGTAAAAAATGAGGAAATCTTGCTCAATTATAAGGAAAATACAAAAATAAGCAAAAAAGAAAGATTCAAGTCTGCAGTAAAATAACCCAGCTTTAGTAAACATCTGACAGTTACAATACAAAAAGTGTGCTCATTAGTTGTACAGATGCTTATTAAAAACCAAAACCGCCCCCCGAAACCAAGTATACAATGCAGTGTTAAACAGTATCAAGATACAAGAATTCACATTGTACAAGTCATTCCAACTTCAGGGCCAGGCAGCTGCTTAAATTCTTCCCACCGCCACCAGTATTTTCCTTGGATCAATTAAGATGACAAACACATTTCAAACTTGGCTCTACAGAGGCATGTATCTTGTTCCCTTTCCAGTCCTCATCTTTATCAACTAAAATTCAAACAGAGATGGGAATAGATTCAAACCTGCATAACCTGGTCTTTATCACTCATGGAGCCAATTCACTGTTATCCTTTGCATTCAGATGGTGAAGGAACTAGGTTCTTAAAGAGTCAAAAGCTACCAACAACAGTTGTTTACACTGGTGCCCTGGAGACCAGTTTTAGTTTGGTTACATTCATAAATAAGTGCTTTTGCTTCTGTTTACAGTAGTTTACCAGGATCCCTTTCCAAAATACCAGAAGGGAGCAGACCTCACACACCCAGCTTTCATTTCAGCAAAATATTTTTCTTGCACAGATGAGAGTTGAAACAGTACCTTTATTGTGTGGCAGGGCTGGTAACAAACATCTGCAGTGAGAGAAGCTCAACATAAAGACAAAGATTTGTTTAGGGAAAAAATTCCTGAAATAAGAGAAGTAAACAAACTTTGTTAACGCTGCTTTTGTTCATTCAAAAAGTGTTAAACCTAACTGGGTCCGTCACCAGGTGAACTGAAAAGAACAGGATGAACCCCAATAACCCCTGTTCCAAAAGGAAGTGCTTATGAAAGATCCAGGCAGACTGCAGTCAGGCTCATGTTAGTGCCAGCAACAACTAGGTGTGTTCCTGCCCCAGTTTTCCATCTTGACCAGCAGCATCCTTGCATTTTAATTCTAGGCCGTGCCACGTGCCTACCAGAGAACATCATCTGGATGGATCTGTGGAACAAGAGGGACTAGTGCACAATCTGTAAATGAATCCCACTGTACTGGAACCAGGCTTCCAGCAGCAGAAGATACGTGCACTGGCTGAACATGTCCCTCTTCTCCCCCCTTCCCCAGGAATCAGGAGCAACTCAGTGCAGCCAATTCCAGAGCATTAGTGGTAAAGCCTTGTTCCAAGGCTAACGGCAATGGCATCTGTGAAATACCATCTTTGTGCAGGCTCAGAGCAAACAGAGCGAGACTTGAAATTCTCATTTAAAATACAAATCACAGTATGTCTTATTAGAAGAAACCTAGGAGGAAAGATAACTTCTTATTAAATGATAACTAATTGTTCCTCCATTTTTTAAAGGCAAAGGGTTGTAGGAAGAATGGATTACGAACCCTTATTGCTCTTAACAAATACAGAAGTTACCCATCAAGTAACCATCTGTCAAGAAGCTACATCACATGGTATGAGACACGTATTTGTGGCTTTACCTCCAACCCACAGATTATCAGTCTCATCAGCAGGGACAGAAAAATAAATGCCCCCCAGATCACCAGGAGACCTTGCTGGCTCAGTGATGGTGGCTCTAGCTGCCTGTTAACGTAGTGTTAAATTGAGGGGAGAGTTTCAGTAGAGTGGACATCTAGTTCTCACTATGCAAAGTTTATTCTGTGTATACGGTTAAGAACAAGTGCAACAGAGGAAAAAAGCCTGGTTGGTCCTTCACTGCAAGGACACAGAATTGGGTGAGAGCCTAAAGGTGCCGGGGTTACGTCTATACCAGTAGCTAGGCCTGTGCCCAAGCACACAGAAGTGGACCATCTACACTGTAAAACCTTCAAGCCCGGGGAGCTCTGCTGAACTTCCAGGTACAAGATCAAACCCACCTCCGTTGACCCGCCCTCCCTGCAGAATTTGGAACTTGCCCAGTCACACAGGCACCAAGCACAGAAAGTCGGCCAGCAGCAATCCCACCACTCCCTGTTCCCGATTTCTGACTCTCCTGCACCCCACATCCTTTTTCTCCTGCCAGGAGACTGTTGGTGTAGTCCGTACAGCTACCACAGTTGCAGACCAAATCCTAGAGGGAACCTGGGAGATATCTTCACACTGTGCTCATGAAATAAGCAGCACAGTGTGAATGGTTTTGGTGTAGACTACAAGGTAGGAAATTCACAGAAAGCAGGGGGGTTGGCAAGCATGACCAAGGCAAACCCCAAATATTGGTGTAGAAATAACCTGAATTATCCCACGAAGCTAAGGATAAGAACATTTGAATAATGCTACTGGCACAGGACTCTTACCCCAGATAGCATAGCTGGTTTATCGGTCACAGTTGCATGCAGCTGGCAAGAGATCTTAAGCCTAGTGACCCAGGGAGATAGAGGTTCTCATCCCACACAGTGGAAAGGAGACTAAAACCCAACATACAAAGATTATTAGTAGCAAGCACGATTTTAGTTTTCTGCTTGAATGGTAAATGCTGTTTTTAGAAATAGAAATAAGGGTATTCCAACCTAGAAAATATTAAATATGCTGCTTATAACAAGTAGGTGTGACAGTTCCTTCCATCCATATGCTCTCATTGGCAGTGGAGAAACCTCCTTGGCTAACATAATTATTCAGTGCATAAAGGTCAGAAAGGACCATAGTAAATCAGTCTCATCACACTTCTCTGGGAGCTCATGTTCAGTTTCTTATCCATCATGACCCCCAAAGTCCTTTACAGAACTATCATGGCCTGTCTATCATTCCTACTTGCAGGAATTGATATTTGGCCACGTTTAGACATGCTGTTTGATTGTGCGCAGCTCACCAGTCAATCTAGATGTCAGCGATTTGTCCTCTTCATTGTGTGCCATTCCCCCAGTCTTTCAGTCTTTTACAAACTTTATTACTGCTGATTATTTTTCTTTCATGTCTTTGATAAATGCTAAATAGCATAATGCCAAGAACCAACTCCTACTGGGCTCCACTAGAAACACAAGCACTTAATGAACGGTCACTTTTTATACCTGCTTTGAGATCTATCAGGTCATTTTAAATCCATGTAATGGGCCATGTTGGTTTTTGTATCATTCTACTTTATTTATCCAAATGTCTTGCAGTACAAAGTCTCGTGCTTTACAGAAGTTTAGGCATCACATCAGGACTATTACTTTTATCAGCCAAATCTCTTGTATCGAAAGATATATTAGTTTGAGAAGAACTGGAGAGCTATTTTCCATAAATCCAAGTTGACTGAAATGTAACCTGATCTATTTTTCTAAGCCCTGTACCACTCAGCTCTCATTTTGCCTGTGATCTACAGGCCTGTCAACTGGATGTCATAATTCAGGCTGCCCATTTACCTTTTATTTATGATAGGAATTGGGGAATTTGCTGGTGGGTTTAATCTGGCTCAAATTTACATCTCTCTTGGAACACAACAAAAAAGAAACTGGGCTGATTTGTCCAATTTATTTCCTTGTAGCAGTGAACCAAGGACAGCTTGCAAGGGTGGGATGCCTAAGGATTGCTAGCAGTCTTTTGTGCCATGCCACACGGAAATCAGAAGCTTCATATACCAGACACCATACTAACATGGCAGCTACACCCTTCTTAGTGTCCAAGAGAAGGGTCTTTAACCAAACTCCTGTTGTGTGGAATCCCAACAATACAAAGCCAAATGCTGCCATCCTGGAAGCTCAATAACTAACACCAGAGGACTTTCTCTCCTACTGGGTATTGATCTCATGGTCCTGTACATTTAAAAAATGACACTTCAATTCCCTGAGGTTAAGTCAGCTAAACCACAATGCCAGGAAGTGTGCTACCTGCACAGGAAGAGGAAAGAACAAGGGGACACGGACACACACACACACACTTTACATATGGGAGAAAAGCATGGAACAAGAGAGAAGCAATGAAGCAAAGAAGGCATTTCTCACCTGCTAAGATACTCTATTGAAAACCAGTGTCGGAGCAATGGTAAAGAGAACCACGGGGGGATGTTAGAACCAGAACACCAATTCCTTTTTCCTATAAGCTGTTCTGTTATGTCAATCACAAGCATTACTTCTGTTCCCTATGTGCTGTAGGTCAGGAAAGAATAAGGCCTGGCAATCCACAAAACACCTTTTTTCCTTGTATGGGGCCAACTACACAACAGATAGTGGTGGAACATCGCATTCCGGTTCCAGTCCCAAGAGCATCATACATTGCTCCCAAGGTAGGAGACTTAAGTCTTCTTTCTGTTTTGGATCCTGCTTAGCCCCACATTTTAGATAGGGCTGAGCTTTTTCTGAAGTACATGCAGCAGACCAGGAGCTCAGGAACAGACAGAAGACCTCTGTTCAAAAAGGCCAGTTATCAGAGCTGTTTTCTAATATTACTGCATGTAGCAAAAACAGGCAGGGGAGCTGGGGCCCCAGGTATGACAACTGTGAGCTCTCATTTTACAGGACAGGCAGGTTAGAAGGGACAGGTACAAATACTACAAAGTGAACTGGAGCATTTCTAAAAGATACAAATATCTATTTGCTTAACCATTTAAAACCAGACACATACAGAAAAAGGCAGCAAGAGCAAACAATTTCCTGCTGCTCCCATTAATCTTGCCTGCATGCACCAGAAAAGCAGTTTTACTAGTCAGTCCTAGAACGTCTTTGCTGGATAGGACAGGAGACAGTTGGTAGTTTCTTTCCGATGACACTCATATGAAGGACTGAAGCAATTCACAGGTTCACACACTAGCAGCAGTTTCATGTTCTCTGGCTTAACAAAAAAAAGGCATTGAAAGAAAAGTTGCCCATAACTTACAGAAAGAGAAAGAGAGAGAGAGAGAGAGAGATGCATGCACGAACACATACTAGAATAGTAGGAAGTTGCACTTGCTCCACGCACCAAAAGGAACGTGGGTCCCAGAGTTAGGACAGACACTGCCTGACAATAACTTGGCTTTGCACGCAATCAGCGTTGCTAGCAGGCTCAGAACTAAAAACAAAATATGCAAGGTTTAAGGCAACCAAAATCCCACAACTCCTGTGTGCATGCATACACTGCCTCTCATTCCTGTGCGTTCACTCATGCTTCTCAAAGTTCCAGCGAGGCCAATTCAAGAGGACTTCCCATCCAACATGTAATAGCGACACATTAAACCTATGACCAGGGCTCCAAGGAAGGGGATTAGCCATGTTGACCAGGAACTAAAGGGAGAAAAAACCCCACACACAAGACAAAAAACAGAAGAAAGCAGTAAGTTAATAATTTATTTAACATACCCTACATTCATGACTGCCTTGATCTAGCAAATTCTCAATCCTCTCATAGTAGTCGGTGAGAGACCAAATACTTAGACACCAGTAGATGCTCACCTTCAGCAAGACTGACTTCTCAGCCAGTGTCCTCATGGAAGGGTAAAATTTAGGCACCTCTTCTGATTCAGTGCTACAGAGAGCTCCCCTCCTCTCTGGTGGACCCAGAATGTGCACATCTAAGGGCCACTTTAACAACAGGGCACAAATCTGTGGTGTTCACCTAAATCAACCCCACTACGGAACAGAATAGACTGCAGCCACAGCTGAATAAAGTGAAGGTGTGGACCAGAGAGTATAGATCTAGGACGAAAGGAGGCTCCTTTTGGACAGGATGGAGCTCAGTGTGGAGGGACCTGTCCACAAGGACTAACTACCTCTCCATGTTGAAGTGGTGACCTACAGCTCTGAATTATCTTGCATTCAGTCAGTGTAAAAATAGTAGCTCTGCATTCGAGTTCTGGGATTTCTGCTTTGCCCACTGAACAAGACAGAAGTGCCCTAGATCAGTGTTTCTCAATCTGAGTCACAACCCAAAAGTGGGTCGCAAAAATATATGAAAGGGTCGTGAACAAACTCTACAAATGGATTCTCCTTCAAAGGAGAAAAACATGGGAAACTGTGGGTTTTCCCCAGCAGGCTAGCAGAGCTCCAGCTTGTGAGGGGCTGCTTGAGCCCCCCTGCCCACACACTGGGGGGTTGGGGGGGCAGCAGGTTGGGAGCGAGGGTACTGGGCTGGGACTGGCCACTGATGTTTACAAGTGGGTCCTGGTCCAAAAAAGGTTGAGAATCACTGCTGTAGATGGACCACCCCTGCCCTCTCACTTTCACATTCCCATATTAAACAAGATACCATACCTGAGCTGGTTGCCAGGTGTTGTGTCTGGATCCTGAGGAAGGAAGGGGGAAAAGGAAAAGACACATTATACAAATGGTGTTAATAAAGCTACAAAAGGAAGGTGGAGGTGACACAGAATAACCCTCCCACTCGCCCTTCCCAGAACCTTCCCCACACCACGGGCATTTTGTTCTTTCCTCCTCATCCTGGTCCTTAGTCTGACCTATTATGTAAGCACAAGCTTGTTCTAGATCCATCCAATATCCGTGCAGGTGACTTATTCAATTTGCTGCATCCACAGTGGAGGAGAATGTGTGGATCCCCCAGGTCTGAGACAAATCTCTCACCTGTGAGCCTTTCCCCGAAGTGATATTCCCCTGGACCATCTCATTTGAAGTCAATCTAGCACACATCGCCATCCTTCCCATCACTCAAACACAGGACCTAGGACATTTCAACCCCTCTGCACGTGTCTCACACATCCAGGCAACCTTCCTAATGTCCAGACAACTGCCACTCATTCTGGCTGCCTTCATCTCCTGTCTTGATGACTGCTCCTTCTGTGTGGCCTCCATGACATATCACTGCTGCCCTCTAAACTAGTCAAGACAGCCTCCTGTTATTCGACCCATATCACGTGTTCCTTCTGCAAGTCCCTGTGCTACATACCCCACTTCTACCATATCACATTTAACCTTATCCTTCACCTCCAAGTCTCTTCATAACTCTGTCCCTCCCGCCCCACCTTTGTTTCTGTGGGCTCCATCGTTATATTACTGATCTACTGTGTGTCTGTCCCTTCCCAGAAACATCTTTGCAATTGCAGCTATATTACTCTGTGTTCATGGTGCACCTTCTCTGACCTCATTTTCAAGCCTATTTCCCTCTCCTTCAAATCATCCCAAGACATGTCTTCCAGGGTACCTACAAGTGTCCAGTCAGCTGTTCATGCCTTGGATAGGTGCACACGGCTGGGTGCTAGCACGCTTACATTTTTTAAAGAAAGTCTGAGTCACAAGCACTGAAGTCATAAGACAGGACGGATGCTCAAAACCAGCCAGTTTGTAAACGTCTGTACGTGCAAGCCACAGCACTGGCCTTTGGTGGCATGACAGTTTTCCACAGTACAAAAATACTACATTTTCTTTGGCTCCATGAAAATGACGGAGTGACCAGAGACCTTGTTTTCATGTTAAAGAGCACAAGAAGAAGAGGACCATCCACAGCGTGAAGTACAGAGAAGGGAGCATCTGTACAACACTTCTCCTTTCACGGCTCCTTCGTCATCCTCTGCCAGTCCCTCTACACTTCTACCCAACATGTTGCACTTAACCATTTATGCTGTATTTGAAAGTCAGTGACCAGAATGGGCACCGGTTTAGAGGTGGGGTACCACCATCATTAGAAGAAAGTGATGTAAAGCTGGCAGCATATTTTTATGATCCATTTTCTGCATGATTTTCTATCTTGTTTCTAACACTACCTGTTTGTTCTGCTTTCTGTATCACACTGGACCGTGCTACTTCCCTGCCTATCTGAGGCATAACAGAGCAGCTGGGAACCTGGGACAGTGCAATGCATAGAGGCAGCAGCAACTCCTAGATGCTACCATGTTGCTGATGCAGCTGCTGCCCATCACCCTGCCTTAGTTATGCTACTGCTGCCTACAGCAGAGCAGAAAGGTCTCTCCTGAGATGATCCTACAAATTCAGAACCCAGCAGAAGAAAGGATTAGATTTCTCCTGTTCCCCAGGCAGCAGCATCTTAAATATAGCCAAGTGAATTTCTGTTTGGTCAGGGAGCTGCCCAGCCCTTAAATTTCTTAGGACTCCACAGAGATCCACTGTTTTGACATATGTAATTAGCAGTACTCTGTATAATTACTGCATTTACCCAATGCAGAATGACTTTGAATAAGATGGCTCTCCCCACAATAATTAGATTCTATACATGGAAAATTATAAATTTGTTATAATTTCCTATGTACAGAATCAAAATACTGAAGGGTTGGCTTAAATTTGTCCCCCCCACTGCTGTGATGGGGAAAGCATCAGTGGTGGGGGAGAAGGAGGGCAGCCTGACTCTCCATCTGGTGTCCCTCCATTCACGGACACCCCCACCCCACAGACCCACATTGCCACCCAGCTCCTGAACCTGGATCCACTCACAGCTGCTGCTGACTTCAGGCTGTGGCCCCGCCCCCGGTGCCAGGGTTGCAGCAGCCACCTGCTGATACCTGAATCCAAGATGAGCCCCCCGGGGGAATCTTGTCTTGGATTTGAGTAAATACAGCACCATGCCCAGACTGGTACCCACTGCTACATACATTGTAGTCAGGCTCTGCATCCATTTATGAAAAAAAGTTGAAACAGAAGGATCTGGAAGGCCCACAGGCAGGCAAAACCTTTCAGTTCTTCCATCTCACCAAGCTGGGGTATGACCTGGCTTGAACTACCCTTTCCAAGGCTGGTTGTGGCAAACAAACCCTCCCAGGAGAGACTTAAGCTGCTTCTCCCTTCAGAGCACTGCTAGTTCCTTTACTGCTTTGTGGTGCCAGGCTACTGGCAATAGTCCCACTCTGAATGATTTCTAATGAAAACGTTGTCTAAGGCAGAGTGTTAGGAGCCAAGCCTCCAAGCCAAGCATGAAAAGAAGCCAACTGCAAAGCACATTTAACTCCTTAATGAGGTTGCGTCTATCATATCTTCCCCTTGTTAGTGCTCCAGTACAATGCCCCATGCTGGTCCTGGACTACCTGAGTTTTAAGCTACATCCTAACAGCTCAGTGATGTTAAACAAAAAATTCTTGTTCTAAGGCCAAACACAAGTGGTTGTGCATGTCTCCAAAGCTAAATCTAACAACACTAACAGTTCAGTGATTGGGACACAGCGAATGATGCAAACAGGTCTGCGGTTCAAGGTGTGGAAATAACCCAGTGCTGATGTCGGGGGGAGAGGGCACAGAGAACACTTCCCATTGCATGCTGAGGTGCCTGCTGAGCTTCAGAAGACAACCAATTTGCTTACAAGGTTTATTTAATATCACAGGCTTTGTGTAAACAAGAAACCACTAACTCAACTCCATGGACAAAAATGTGAGTGACTCAACTTCCTCCCTCTGTGTTTAAGCTGCAGGGATCAAGGTGGGCAGCTCAGGAAGAGTGGAGCATGGAAGCAACCCCTTTGGTCAGATCAGGGACTGTTCTGAAAGACCTGAGAGCCATATGTAGCCCCCCTCAGCTGGAGTACCCAACCTGCCCTTGTGTAACACGGGGCTGTCTTACTGTTTGCCAAGCACCAACAGGACATTCAGCGCTAAGCAAGACATAAAAATAAGGACAGATGATCAGTTCTTGGGTCCAAGGACTAACAGACCAATGCAGAGCAAGTAGGACAGAACTGGGAGGTTCAAACAGAAGGGAATAACGTGAGGTGACTTAACAAGGTTTGTGTTTTGTTTTAAAGTCTTATTTCTTGCACTTGGCAGAGAAAACAAAAGTCCTTGGGAAGGATTTAGAATGAGCCAAGTGTGACTGCCTGCTGGCCAAGGCTGGGAGGGTATTCCACACACGGCGCAGGCAGCAGCATGCCTACAGGAACCACCCACACTCAGAGAAAGTCAGCTCGCTTCTCCCTTCCATCTGCTGGTGGGTTTCTTCATTAGGGTTAGCCAAGGGAAGAGCAGCTCAAGCTAGCCAGTGCAGTTAGAAGCGAGTAGTATTGTTAGACCAATGAACTGGCTTTTCACATCACTTCTTTTATTTCAACTCTGTTTCAGCACAGAAACACAGCCAAGTGCTATAGGAACAGACTTCCAGCAGACGATTGGCATTTCCTGGTTTCCGTGGATGAAGAACTGAGTGGACATTTATTTATATGCTGCCCTTCTCAATAAAGGCTCAAAGCAACTTGCAACAAGAGAAAAAAAACAAATTATAAAATAGGAGAGAGAGCAGAACAAGACAACTTAAAAACTAAGCATCCCTTTGTGAAAATAAACCAAGTTCCAAAGCATCACGCTGTCATTGAGCAGAAGGACCCATGCAACAGGAAGGCAAGAGTCTCCTGCAACCCCCCTTCTCCTTACAGCAGAAGTCTGAACCAGACAGGAAGCCTTCCGGTAACTCCGATGGATTCACTGTGACAAGGGAGACTCACTTAACTCCAAGCTAGACACGAAGGCAGACAAAACCGCTCTGGCTAGAGCAAAATTTGGTGTGCAACAGAAGCTAGAAGTAGATGTGACCAAATGAAATAGATAAGCTGTGCCAGGATGTGTCCATTGATCTTGTGGGACAACACACGACATCTTCCCTGCTTACAGTTCCCCCAGACATTTTGGGGCACATCTCCGGAAGAGGGGAAAGCTGGGCAGGCACTCTCAGGGCTTGAGGGGCCCAATCCTATGTGGGAATTAAGGGGTGAGTGGGATCGAGCCCCTCAAGTCCTCAGAGTGCCTATCCAGCTCTGAGCTGTCTGCACTCTCATGCCATAAAGCCAACAGACCCAATAAAGCAGTGGAAACTATTACCACCTCTGTCACAGCCACAAATGTGAGGCACGAGTGCCATGACAAATAGTATAGGTGTCTGTCTGTTTATCCTTGTGATGGCAGAAGAACTGTTATGGCAGCACAAAGACAGTCTGTTTGCCACCAGAGAGAGGAACCGAGGCAGACAAGCCTAAGGAGCAGGTCTGAGGAGTCTGCTGGAGCACAGTGTACATATCAGCAGCTTCCTATCCACAGAACATGGGGTTCAAGGTTAGAGTCTGCCAAAAGACACTTCCCTTTTCCGTGAACAACTCGTACCCCCGGCGGCTGGGGGGACAGGGCGGTGGCAGCGGCAGGAGCTCCTGTAGCCACTACCTGCGGCGGTGGGAGGAGCGCTGACCAAGGGTCAGTGACCACCCGCAGCCACTGCCAGCAGTGGCAGCCAGCAGGGATTGTGGACCTCCCACGGACACCGCTGGCAGTGCCGGTGGTAGGGTGTCAAGTGCCAGCAGTGCCTTTTTCTAGGGGGTACACCACCACACGCAGGGGGTGCACATGCACCCACATGCATCTCCTATGCATCACCCCTGCCCTTTTCCATTCCCATTCCTCCCAGCACTCTCACCTGGCACCAGCTCTGAACTGAAGAGCTACATAAATATGCCAGCTCCAACTGCAGAACCACCCAGTATGAAGGAAATGGAACAGCAGTGGTCAAGAGCTGCGTGTTGACACTCAGCCAAACTAAAGGGCCTGGTCACATCTGGACCAAGACCTGTGCTTTAGAGAGCAGTCTCCAGGACATTTACTAAACATCAGAGGATGAGATCGCATACCAGTGCAACCAAAAGCAACAGCTGTACTTAGATGGAGGCTCAAGTGCTCTTGGAGGACTTCCCCAAAGTTCAGGCATGAAGTCAATGCCAGAGAAAATTACTGTCTTGAGCATGGAATTGCCAGCTCCCCAATGCACTAAAAACCTGTCTGAGCTACACAATGTGACTAAAGCACAAATTGTGCATGTAAGGTTCCCTGTTCAACCCAGCCATCCTTCAGGTATGCTTCCCTCCACAAAGGGTGGCTAGGGGAAAAAAAGTGAAGTATAAAAGAGCAGAGCTAGAGACCCACAGGGCTCAAGACAGAATACATGAGGCCTCAAGATGTCAATAAATCAGTTACCAGAGTGAAAGATGTGCTGGGGTAGGGGAAAAGCAGTCTTCAACAGCTTGTCCTATTCCACATAAAGTGGAGAAGGGGCTTTTTAGGCTCCAGATACCTAAGCACACCACAGAATCTCTGGTGTTATTCTTCTTCTGGCACCACAGCTTGCTTTTTTCAGTCTCCTTTTAATAGTCCTCCAAAAGAAGACCTAAACTCTTATCCAAACACCATAATCTTTTCTAGTTAGTGTGCCACAGCACACTACATGTCAGTATGTCCTGCACATCTGTAGGGGATAACCAAGTTCTCAAGAGAAGACTCTAGCTATGAGAATGCTAAATGGGAAAAATAAAGAAGCTCCATTAGCCCTTTTTGATGCCACCATTTGAAGAAGCTGGTCAAGGCCTGCAAACAGACTTTGTATATCTTGTGCTCATCTTGGGCTAGGCTGAGAGGTATCTAATAAAGGAACAGGCAGAGTGGGAGCACCGCTTGGCACCCCACTGCATTTCTCCACTTCTTGAGTTGTAAGTGGAGGATTTTATCACTTCTCCAGACACACAAGAAGAGCCCTTTCCCAAACACACAGCTAAAGCGAAGAAGCCAGCACTGAATCAGCAGTGAGCAAAGATGTGAACCTAGGCCCAGCACCGGGGAAATTAGGATGGAGAGGCTCCCTTTCCCTTTCTGCAGAGGACCAGAAGATTCCAGTCATATTCAAGAGGCCAGTCGGATAACACTAGTTACTCAAATGTTACTCAAGGGGTTAAAATACAATGTATGACATACTGAGGTGACAGGCACCTTAGAAACACATGAGAGATTAAGGGGAAATACTCAATCACTGTGTCATTTGTACTGCAGATATCAGCGGTATTGTCCTGTACTTAGAATGAACTATCACAGAATTACGTTTCTAGGCCAGGAAGCAAGGTAAATGCCTACCACTATATGCTTGCATTTGCAAACAACAGTATTAATGCATGGCACTCCCCTCCAGCTTGCCAGCCACCAACATGCAAACAGCTGACCCCGCAGAGATCTCCTCACATGTGCACCTGCTGGGGTACCGTAAGACACCGTACCTCTGAGGGGTCTGCAATAGACTGTGTAACAAGTGCAATTGGTTTCCACTTTGAAGGTCTTTAACCTAATGACGTAGCATTATTCTGGCTTCTCCAGACATTAATATGTCTGCGTAAGCTCATTCAACGGCTGCTAATACAGGGCAATTAAGGCTTTCCTGACTACTGGGGGAACATCTTTTGGGTTACTAGGGCACCTCCCTGGACATCATGTTTACAATCAAAAGGTGATGTTCTTAGGACAAGTTCAATAAACTGAACTAGGACATCATGCTCACTCCAAATCCGTATTGACACAAGCAGGGGAATGAGGATAAAAAAAAAAAAAAAGGACAATACACAGATAACACACACAATGCTCAGAACTGGTGTTTGAACAATTATTCTAATCTTCTCCCTCTGAATGACTGAATTATTTGGTGCAGTAGAACAACATAGAAGGAGACTAGCACCTCTTACAGCCAGGAGTGCAAGCCAGCAAGCGGCTCCTCTCCATGCCCCAGGCAAGAACTTCTGTGCCCAGATCAGAATTAAACATGCCTCACCTTTACCAAAACTCATTCCACTTGCTTTGCAGTTTGGGCCACTGTACAGAAAGTTACATCTACCTGGGCTGTCTGCTGCAGAACTCCTGAAGTGTGCTGACCCTACAAGTCTCCCCCATGTTCAGTCTGCTTGCTCTATATACTGGATTCACAAAACAAAACCAGAGGAGTCTGCATTACTCTGAAGGAAGAGGGGTTAGGATATCCCTGGTAGTTTCATTTCTGTTCTAAACACTGGAATTTCTGTCTAGCAGCTCATCATATGCAAGAATCACTTTCCCTGCCAATGTAGCACAGCTAATCCTGGCTGGAAGGTGGCACCTACATTGCCTGGACTGGCATAGCAACATTATAGAAGATCCAAGGATAGGAAAAGAAGACAGATCATGTCTCCCTTACCATTTCAAGGGAATTTTGTTAGCTCCAGTTACTAGAGTTGGACTGTGGCAGGACACCAAGGCCAACGCACTGACTCTCAGTAAAAGTGCAAAAATGGTCTTGGGGATAAAAGGTGAGAATACCACTGATACCCAACCCAAAAGAACACAGCAGACCAGTTTCACTTCCTACTGGTACCGGCACTGCAGGGAGCCCCTACTTCCCACTGAGGATCAGGCTGTCAGGTTCAGGTGGTTACTCTATTTACGCCATGCTCTTTCCAGAGGTCTTCACCAAACCACCCAATCTCTGTTCTTTACATAACATTTCTCACCTAGGTTAAAAACAACAGCAGCCTAATGCCACATAGTGTGGAAATGGAACATCTGCTAACTGAACGTAGCACAGGCCCCTCCACATTAATTTTAAGCAGGAAAGGAAACAAAGAAAACAAAACAAATGAACAGAGATCTTACCTTAGAGCTTTCAGTTTTACGGTCACACTGTTGGGAGGGGGGAAGAAGAGAAAAGAGAATAGGGTAAATACTGTAATTTAACCTTTTGGAAAGAAGTTTTCAGTCACCAAGGGAGAATCAGCATGCACACAGCTGACACCGCTTGAGCCACTGCTTGAATTATTTTGACTTCATCTCTCATGTAACCAAGCCTTCAGCACCCAAAAAGCACTGGCTTTAACTTGCTAAAAATCAAATCAGGCTGAGGGCAGAGGTATGTTACCAGCTATCCCACACCACCTTAACATCCTGACTCACATTATAAGGAAAAGTTCAGGGTGATAAATCAGCCCAAAGGGACTTCTTTAATACCATGGACTGAACTGCAGCCAAAAGTCACTTCTGGATGATGGAAGAGAGAGGATTGGTTCAGCTTTTAATTTTAAGTACCCTCTGTTTCATCATGTGATCTCTTTTGCTGGGGAAAAGTAGTACACAACTCATCACTGTGATAACAGACCTTGATGAAACTGCCTGCTGGGTTATGTAAGGGGCTCTACAGTCAGTACTGCATTCACTCTCTCACACACACAATGTACTTGGACAGAAGGACATCACAACCAGTTCCTCCTTACCGGGTGAACCTCTCCTATGTAGTACTGCTTAAGCATTTCCCTGGCATCTATCGAATGTCCAACATCCTCAAAGCTCTCTGTGGCATCTCTCCCAGCCTGCTCAAGTAAAACTTCCTCTCCACCTGGATGCTGAAAAAGAAGGAATTCAGTGAGCACAGTGCTGTGGGATAAAAGAAAAAAAATATTTTTTGAGAAGCATTCCCTCCCTCAAACACACAGCTACTTTCTAACCTTTTCAGTTCAGCACAGCCACTGCAAACCAAAAACTCAAGACAAGCTCTGCTGAAGATCCATTGTCCAACCTCCCAACCAGGCTGTCAAAAGGGATGAAAGGGCACTGCAGGGTCTGGCACTCCCCCGAAATCCAGCCTTGCCAGCTCTACTGATAGGAAAATCCCTCCAGCAACAAAGAGCAGTTCCCCAACTTTCAGAGAGAGCCACTGACTTGAGCTTATGGATCAAGTCTTCTCTGGAGTTCTTAGACAGGCTGGTCCAACTCCTGATGTACTTGTGGATGTGCTAATGCAGCAGTACAACACAGCAGTATTAAGCCATGAGTTAGCATCCAGCAAGCAAAGCATAAAGATATGAGCCCCCGCTGCAGAGCTTGGCACATGGAACACACCACACAGGACACTGATTCAAGACTGCGACCAATCTAGGCCAGAAAAACCAAAAGAACAAGCATCTTTGTGACCCCCCCC